ACCACCACGAAAAATCCACGAAACCACGTGGAGTCCACGTCTTTTCCACGACCTATTTCTCTCTGGGCTACAGATTGTGTGATGGTGATTGTTATGAGACAGACTGGTGGGGGAAGGACCTCGTGAAGGCTTTGGGTGCCGCTGTTCCCTCGAAAGTATCTTCTTTAAAATTAGATTGCCTTGAGGTAAGTACTGTGTAATTACTATTCTACGCCTGTATTGTCTCTTTCTAGAACGTTTTTCGCCTTAATCCTAACATGGTGTTTTTGCATTTAGTATGGTGACTTGAAGCCCATTGTGGCTCACCTTTTGGCCACCGTGCCCCATCTGCCCCGGCTCGAGGAGGTTGTCTTCAGCGACGTCATTTCTGCTAACCAGCTTCGCGATCTGGCACGCGGGGCACCAAGCCTCACCCGTCTTAGTGTAAAGACATTGAAAAACTGCTTGTGCTGCTCGTGGAGCAAGGTTTGCGACATTCTGAATGCAAGTCCTCTTCTGCAGTTGACCATTGAAATTGACTATAATTTAAAGAAATGCACAAACAACTGTGCGGAATGTGTCGTCAAATCTACGAAGGGGGTGACTTTTAAAAGTGCCACTTCAATCGTAAAGCACGTCTCCAAGACAAGACACTGCAAAAAGTAATCCTCGCAACTTTCCTGCAAAAATGGCTGAGGTGAGCCTAAGCGAAATTTTTGTTTTGCCGCTGCCTTATTTGTGCGGAGATTCCTGCTAACCATTCTGAAGATAGCCAGAAATAGTACTTCTCAACTGTAAATAATGTTTAAGCCATCAGTTTTAATTTGAATGTATCTAAATTCAAATAAAATTCTTTCTGATGCCTTTCTACTGATCAGATTAGTTTTTGCGATCCTCTCGTCAAGGTGCCTGGATCTGACTCAAAAGTAAACATTTTTAAGCGATGTTTGTAAGTTGTATTTTGTTAATATAAAGACTCGTACTGCGTTGCGTTTCAATAATTTTGTTTTGTATTTTGTAAGGGTCATTTTTTTAAAATTAATTTGTTTGTATTTGCCTAGATGTATTCCCCACCTTGTAAGTGATGGCTGCACCTAGAGACAGACGTATAGTCTATCTTTCAAAATAAAAAGAAATTGAATACATAAAAAAATAAAAAATAAATACGAACAGCGCAGCTTATGAAGTGTTCGTGTCGGTCGGTTGTTCTATGAGGACAGCGCGCGCCGAATCAGTGGTCTGCGATGCAATGGCACATTTACTGACGCCTGTAATCCCCTTCCAGCCTGGTGCGCATGCCGCCGTTGTTAAACTTTTTGCCCCCCCCCCCCTCCATTTTACCCTCTTTTATATCATTGTGTCTCTCTGTGCCCGCTTGGCCCGTTTGCGCCTGTGTAAACTGGGACGCCGCCTCTGCCCTGTGCGGCGTCCGCTCAAACTTTGGCTCAGCCGATAAAGTTGGCATTATTTTCTCACATTAGCTGGCCCATAAAATCACGTCGAAGGATCCCCTAGCCCCC